TTTTTTTTGGAGAGATTTTCACTGTAGGGCGCGTGCGCTCGCCAGACAGACAGAGAGAGACATAGAGACAGAAAGCGAGAAATCACCCCCCAGGGGGGATGGTCACGCCGCAATCCCTTCTCCTCCATTCTCCTCTCGGGATCTTGGGCACGCACGCACACGCGCCCGGCGTGAGTTTTAAGCCACCGGGTCCGGGACACGAACCGAGGTCGACTACGTGGGAGTCCAGCGACATAGCCATTACGCTAACTGCTGGTTCCCAAGATCTATTTTTCTTCTTCTCTTTGGTCTTCATATTAACATTAGGCAGGTATTCTGGAGTTTGGACTTCTTCCTATTCAAGTAGATGAACTGAGATAGTTAGTGTTTTATGAACTGAAAACATATCTCAGAAGCACTGATTCTCAGAAACAGAAAACAGAAGGAACCTTGAGGTCACCCTGCCTGGCTTCCAGCAGGTTCAGAACTTTCCTCTTTGGGAACTCTGAAGGAAGTGTCTCAGTCCTTGCTCGAATCCTTCCAGGGATGGAGCACTCATTACTTTTCAGGTGACCCATTCCCTCATGCATCCATTCAAATCAGTGCTCATTAGCACTCACAGACCCAACCGAACACGACCCCACACCTTCCTCCCATGACTCTCAGACTCCGGACTGTGGGACACCATTCTGGGAACTAGAAAAGGAAGGCTCAAGGTGATTTACATAATCTACTATCACAAGTTTACAGTGATAAAGAACTTTCCTGGGACCAACAGGTGACATAATGGTTACATCACTGGACTCCCACGTGGTCAACCGCAGTTCAAGTCCCAGACCCTGCAGCTTAAACTCATGCCAGGCACATATGCGTGCATGCCAAAAATCCCAAGAGGAGAACAGAGGAGAAAGGATTATGGTGTGGCCATCCCTCCTTGGGGAGGGGGTGATTTCTTGCTTTCTGTTTCTCTGCACTCTCTGTCTCTCTGGCAAGTACACATGCCCTATAGCAATAGCAAAGACTCTCTCTCTTAAAAAAAAAAAAAAGAACTTCCCCAACTGCAGGCAGGCCTAGAATGTAAGCATGTGTTCATCTCCTCTCTTGTGGCATTTAAAGATGTAGGAAAACTTGAAGATGCTCAGAACAGACTTGCTATCAAACAGCTCATCAAAGAGATTGGAGAGCCTCGAAACTATGGCTTAACAGATGAAGAAAAGGCAGAAGAGGAGCGGAGGGTTGCGGAGGAACGGCTGGCCAAGGAGGCTGCCGAGGAAGCGGAACGCGAGCACAACGAGGCCATGGAGACTGCAGAGAAGATAGCGCGCTGGGAGGAGTGGGTGAGCGCGCACGTGTGCGTGGGAGCCTGTGGGTGGGGCTGGGAACGCCATTCAGATCAGTCCTACTTCCCACCCTGCTGTGGAGAAATGCCGTGGAGACGCCCCTAGAGTCGGTCGTTTCTTAACTTTCTGTCATATGTACCACTAAAAAGATGTCCATGGTTTTCTACTGAGTATTAATAACAAAGATTAGCCGTTGTCAGGAGTATTGATATGTGTGACCTTTGGTAAGTCCATTTATTTCTTCCTTCCATATGTGAAAAAGAGAGAGACAGGCACCCTCAAAAGATTCCTGATGCTGGGGCTGGCAGGTGGCGTGGTGGTTGAGGCGCTGGATTCCCACATGGTCAACCATGGTTTGAGTCCTGGACCTGGTGACTGCTTTCTTACTTTCCCTTTCTCTGGTCAAATTCAAAATAATTAATTAATTAATTAAAAAAAAAGGTTCCTGATGCCGTGATCCACCTCCAGCCCCAGCCAGCCCAGCACACATGTGCTTACTGTGTTCAGAGAGAACTTTTTGGAATTATTATTTTTTTTTTAAGTTTTTGACTGAGGGCACATGTGCTTGCTGGAGAGAGAGTGAGACAGAGAGAGAGCAAGAGAGGGAAAGTGAGAAATCACCTCCCAGGGCAATGTCCATGCCTCAGTTCCTTCTCCTCCATTCACAACCAGGATTTGGGGCACGCAGGCACAAGCACCTGGCATGATTTTTCAGGCCACCTGGTCTGGGTCTTAAACCTTGGTCGGCCATGTATGAGTCCAGCACCTTAATCACCACACCACCTGCCGGCCCCAGGGAGGTTTTTAATGCAAACCCAGAACCCTCTCAGGTGGATCAGTCTTACAGAATGATGTCACTGCTGTGCTACTGGTCGATAAATGGGTAACATTTTACTGCATGCTGACCTTGAGATCTGTTTTGATTTTTCCCCATTTATCCATCGAACTTAGGTGGTCAATCCCATTCCACCCCTCCTCATTCTGCACCTCACTGAATCTTATTATTCTGCTTCCAAAAATAGCACTTTCCATTTCTTCTGATCAAGGTAAATGTTTCCCAGCAGAATTATGCCGGAGAGAGAGACAGTGAGAGTGAAAATGAGAACCCCCTGTCCCCCAGGGGTTTGGCTACATGCAATCCCTTCCCCATTCTCTTCCTAGGATTCTGGGCACGCACATATATGAGCCTCACATGCTTTTCAAGCCTCCAGGTCCAGGACTCAAGCCATGGTGGGCCATGTGGGAGTCTTTTTTTTGGAGAGATTTTCACTGTAGGGCGCGTGCGCTCGCCAGACAGACAGAGAGAGACATAGAGACAGAAAGCGAGAAATCACCCCCCAGGGGGGATGGTCACGCCGCAATCCCTTCTCCTCCATTCTCCTCTCGGGATCTTGGGCACGCACGCACACGCGCCCGGCGTGAGTTTTAAGCCACCGGGTCCGGGACACGAACCGAGGTCGACTACGTGGGAGTCCAGCGACATAGCCATTACGCTAACTGCTGGTTCCCAAGATCTATTTTTCTTCTTCTCTTTGGTCTTCATATTAACATTAGGCAGGTATTCTGGAGTTTGGACTTCTTCCTATTCAAGTAGATGAACTGAGATAGTTAGTGTTTTATGAACTGAAAACATATCTCAGAAGCACTGATTCTCAGAAACAGAAAACAGAAGGAACCTTGAGGTCACCCTGCCTGGCTTCCAGCAGGTTCAGAACTTTCCTCTTTGGGAACTCTGAAGGAAGTGTCTCAGTCCTTGCTCGAATCCTTCCAGGGATGGAGCACTCATTACTTTTCAGGTGACCCATTCCCTCATGCATCCATTCAAATCAGTGCTCATTAGCACTCACAGACCCAACCGAACACGACCCCACACCTTCCTCCCATGACTCTCAGACTCCGGACTGTGGGACACCATTCTGGGAACTAGAAAAGGAAGGCTCAAGGTGATTTACATAATCTACTATCACAAGTTTACAGTGATAAAGAACTTTCCTGGGACCAACAGGTGACATAATGGTTACATCACTGGACTCCCACGTGGTCAACCGCAGTTCAAGTCCCAGACCCTGCAGCTTAAACTCATGCCAGGCACATATGCGTGCATGCCAAAAATCCCAAGAGGAGAACAGAGGAGAAAGGATTATGGTGTGGCCATCCCTCCTTGGGGAGGGGGTGATTTCTTGCTTTCTGTTTCTCTGCACTCTCTGTCTCTCTGGCAAGTACACATGCCCTATAGCAATAGCAAAGACTCTCTCTCTTAAAAAAAAAAAAAAAGAACTTCCCCAACTGCAGGCAGGCCTAGAATGTAAGCATGTGTTCATCTCCTCTCTTGTGGCATTTAAAGATGTAGGAAAACTTGAAGATGCTCAGAACAGACTTGCTATCAAACAGCTCATCAAAGAGATTGGAGAGCCTCGAAACTATGGCTTAACAGATGAAGAAAAGGCAGAAGAGGAGCGGAGGGTTGCGGAGGAACGGCTGGCCAAGGAGGCTGCCGAGGAAGCGGAACGCGAGCACAACGAGGCCATGGAGACTGCAGAGAAGATAGCGCGCTGGGAGGAGTGGGTGAGCGCGCACGTGTGCGTGGGAGCCTGTGGGTGGGGCTGGGAACGCCATTCAGATCAGTCCTACTTCCCACCCTGCTGTGGAGAAATGCCGTGGAGACGCCCCTAGAGTCGGTCGTTTCTTAACTTTCTGTCATATGTACCACTAAAAAGATGTCCATGGTTTTCTACTGAGTATTAATAACAAAGATTAGCCGTTGTCAGGAGTATTGATATGTGTGACCTTTGGTAAGTCCATTTATTTCTTCCTTCCATATGTGAAAAAGAGAGAGACAGGCACCCTCAAAAGATTCCTGATGCTGGGGCTGGCAGGTGGCGTGGTGGTTGAGGCGCTGGATTCCCACATGGTCAACCATGGTTTGAGTCCTGGACCTGGTGACTGCTTTCTTACTTTCCCTTTCTCTGGTCAAATTCAAAATAATTAATTAATTAATTAAAAAAAAAGGTTCCTGATGCCGTGATCCACCTCCAGCCCCAGCCAGCCCAGCACACATGTGCTTACTGTGTTCAGAGAGAACTTTTTGGAATTATTATTTTTTTTTTAAGTTTTTGACTGAGGGCACATGTGCTTGCTGGAGAGAGAGTGAGACAGAGAGAGAGCAAGAGAGGGAAAGTGAGAAATCACCTCCCAGGGCAATGTCCATGCCTCAGTTCCTTCTCCTCCATTCATAACCAGGATTTGGGGCACGCAGGCACAAGCACCTGGCATGATTTTTCAGGCCACCTGGTCTGGGTCTTAAACCTTGGTCGGCCATGTATGAGTCCAGCACCTTAATCACCACACCACCTGCCGGCCCCAGGGAGGTTTTTAATGCAAACCCAGAACCCTCTCAGGTGGATCAGTCTTACAGAATGTTGTCACTGCTGTGCTACTGGTCGATAAATGGGTAACATTTTACTGCATGCTGACCTTGAGATCTGTTTTGATTTTTCCCCATTTATCCATCGAACTTAGGTGGTCAATCCCATTCCACCCCTCCTCATTCTGCACCTCACTGAATCTTATTATTCTGCTTCCAAAAATAGCACTCAAACCCACCCACAGCTTTCCATTTCTTATGATCAAGGTAAATGTTTCCCAGCAGAATTATGCCGGAGAGAGAGACAGTGAGAGTGAAAATGAGAACCCCCTGTCCCCCAGGGGTTTGGCTACATGCAATCCCTTCCCCATTCTCTTCCTAGGATTCTGGGCACGCACATATATGAGCCTCACATGCTTTTCAAGCCTCCAGGTCCAGGACTCAAGCCATGGTGGGCCATGTGGGAGTCTAGTCTTAACCACTATGCCATCTGCTGGGCGCTGTCCCCCCAGCAGAATGTTGTGCCTTCTTGCTGGTCTCCCTGACTCTACCCTTTTGTCTCCAGTCTCTTCACATGCGGTCGTCAGGTGGCCCCCTTCCTCAGTGCAAATGCACATCACCATCCTCTGTATGTAACTCTTCGCAGGCTGTCTGTCACAGTTAGACAAAAATCCTTACTGCAGTCCCAAGATACTTTATGTCCTGGCTGCTTCTAGTATTTTCCAATTTCAAGCAATGCCCCATCGGCCTTTTTGTGCCACCTACACAACTAACTTCCTCATTTGCTTCACTTCTTTTTTTTTTTTTTTTTTTTTGAGAGTTTTTTTTTGCTATAGGGTGTGTTCGCTCGCCAGACAGACAGAGACAGACAGACAGACAGAAAGTGAGAAATCAACCCCCAGGGGGGATGGTCACGCCTCACTCCCTTCTCCTCCATTCTCCTCTCGGGATCTTGGGCACGCACGCACACACGCCCGGCGTGTGTTCTAAGCCACTGGGTCCGGGACGCGAACCGTGGTCGACTACATGGGAGTCCAGCGACATAGCCATTACGCTAACTGCTGGTTCCCATCATTTGCTTCACTTCTTTACTAGTCATCTTTCCACCGTAACTTCTTCTGGTTACTGTATGTCAAGTTTCAACCCCTGCCCTTCCCTCCATGTCATCTCCCCTGTTACACGTTAACCATTTCCTCTTCACACTTACTTTATCTAACATGCCATATACATTATAGTTGTCATCCCTCAGGATCCACGGGGATTGGTTCCAGGACCCTGCAGACTGCAAAATCCACAGATGCTTTAGTCCCTTTTGTACAATGACAGCGTTGCACCTAACCTACGCACGGTCTCTGTATACTTTAAGTTATCTCTAGATTGCTTATAATACCTAATACAATGCAAATGCTACATAAATTACGCTAACTGCTGGTTCCCATCATTTGCTTCACTTCTTTACTAGTCATCTTTCCACCGTAACTTCTTCTGGTTACTGTATGTCAAGTTTCAACCCCTGCCCTTCCCTCCATGTCATCTCCCCTGTTACACGTTAACCATTTCCTCTTCACACTTACTTTATCTAACATGCCATATACATTATAGTTGTCATCCCTCAGGATCCACGGGGATTGGTTCCAGGACCCTGCAGACTGCAAAATCCACAGATGCTTTAGTCCCTTTTGTACAATGACAGCGTTGCACCTAACTACGCACGGTCTCTGTATACTTTAAGTTATCTCTAGATTGCTTATAATACCTAATACAATGCAAATGCTACATAAATAGTTGTTATACTAAATTGTTTAGGAAATAATGACCCCCCCAAAAGTGTACATGTTCAGTAGAGAGGCAATCATAACCCCCTAACTGCCTAACTACATAGTACACATCAACAACAATGTGACATTTTCTTTTTGTGGTTGCTTAAACCTGCAGCCCCAGAGGGCCAGTTGTATTTCATATATTCATCTTGTTTCCTGCCTTTTCCCTGCACAGGATTTCAGTTCCACCAGGACAGGGATTTCGGTTTATGTTGTTCACTACTCTATTTCCAGTGCCTAGAACAGTGCCGAGCAGTGTCACAGGCACTCAAGAAATACCTGTAGAAGGAAGGAAAGGAGAGCAGGGTGGATGGATGGTAGGGAGGAATTAAGAAGGGAGGGAGGGATGGAGGGAGGGAGGGACAAAAGAGGAATGCCCTTATGCACACATCTTCACATCTCTGAGTGCCTGATTAATCTGAGCATAATTCCTGAGATTCTCTGGGTCAGATAAGACATGATTTAAACTTTGATACATATATCTCTAGTGAGCACACATACACTGCCAGAGGGTATGTGTGCTCACTAGAGAGATGGAGAGATATAGGGAAGGAGAGAGAGAAAGGATAAAGCACCCTCCCTAATAGGGTGTGGTCATGCTGCAATCCCTTCTCCTCCATTTCTCCATCCCGTTGGGATTTTGGGAACACATAAACACAGCTTGTTTTTCAAGCCATCAGGGCCAGGACTTGAACTGTGGTCTGTGGTAGACCATGTGGGGTCCAGCTTTCCTTAACCACTAGGCTTGGGGCCAGCCCCATCAATTTTTTTTTTAAATGTTATTTATGTTTTTTATCTCTGGTCACACAAGAGTTGTAAACTTACACAAGGGTACTTGAAAATTTCATGGAAAATGGAATTATTTTGGCACAAAAAATGTATATCCATGCATAGTTTTTCCATAATACACATTACAATTTTTGTTGTTTTTGTTTTGCCAGAGAATCTGCACTCATCAAAGACAAGACAGAGAGGAAGGGAGAAAGCATCCCACATAGGGAATGGTTACTCCACAATCCCGTCTCCTCCATCTCTCTCTCTCTTGTCAGGATTTTGGGCACACATGCACACGTACCCAGCATTTCTCAAGCCATCATGTCTAGGACTTGAACTATGAGGTCAGCCATGTGGAATCCAGCCACCTTAACCACCAGGCCGTGGGCTGGCCCATAGCACATATTTTCTATGAAAGTTTTGAAGACTTTACATGTAATCAAATCCATCAGTCTTTTTCCATTTTGATTTCTGAGTGTAGAGCCTTGCTGAGGAAAAGCTTCCTATCAAACAAATATCAGTTATGGTTTTTAATCTTGCAAATGGCAGAAAAGCAAACTCAAAGTGGTTTAAACATAAAGAAAACTTATGGATTCATATGGCAGAAAGGTTCAGGGGTAGGGCTGGTTTTAGGAGAGGCTAGATATGGTGGCTCAGATGCTGTTACCAAGGACCTGGGCTTTCCCTCTCTGTTCTACCCTCCATGGCTGGCTTTACTCTTAGGCTCAACCATCGTTTCTTTTTTTTTGGGGGGGGAGGGGAAGATTTTGGCTATAGAGCATGTGCACTCGCCAGAAAGACAGAGAGACAGAAAGAAAGTGAGCAATCCACCCCCGGGGGGATGGCCACAACGCAATTCCTTCTCCTCCATTTTCCTGTTGGGATTTTGGGCTTGCATGCACACGTGCCTGGTGTGAGTTTTAAGCCACAGGGTCCAGGACTTGAACCACAATCGACTACATGGGAGCCCAGCGACATAGACATTATACCAACTGCTGGTCCCAGGCTCAACCATCGTTAATGAATATCCACAGCCAGGAGGCAAGCAGGATCAATAGGCTTAAGTCTCACCCACACCAAAAGACTAGGCTGAGAAGGGAGATTTCTCAAAGGCAATGTTGGGGCCAGACAGGTGATATGGTGACTAAGGCGGCTGACTGCATGGTTTCAGTCCTGGACCTGGTGGCCCGAAAAACATGCCAAGTGAGTGTACATGCATGCTCAAAATCCCAGGAGGAGAATGGAAGAAAAGGGACTGCTGCATGGTCTCCACTCTCCCCACCCCCAACGCAGGAGGGTTCTACACCTCTCTCTTTCTGTATCTTGCCAGCAAGCACACATGCCCTATAGGAATTAAAAAAAAAAAAAAGAATTATTTTATTCAACTTTATTTATTTACTTACTTATTCATTTGTTTATTTCAATTTGACCAGAAAGGGACAGGGAGAGAGAGAGAGAGAGAAAGTGAGAAAGCAAGCTACCAGGTCCTGGACTCGAACCTTAGTCAGGCATGTGGGAATCCAGTGCCTTTAACCACCATTCTACCTGCCAGCCCCAGGAATTTTTTTAAAGGAGAAAACGATTTAAAAATAAAAAAAAATAAAAGGAAATCTGGAATTATTAACCCTAAGCGAGGGACTGTGTGCCGAAGCAGGAGTAGCACATGTCGTGGTACCGATAACCTCCAGGCTTTAAGTAGCACTCTCACGATACCAGCCCCTCCTTTTCATTTTTCTCACTTTGCTTCTTCTGGGCAGCTTGAAATGAACAGGCATCAACTCATTACAGACTATTGTTTTCTAAGGGACTACTCAATTGTTATGACACGACTTGCACCTCTTCTCTGCTGACTGGAAGAGTCCTCCTTAGCATCAGGCGGTGACCATTTTTAGCAGTGTCTAGTGCGCACTCCGGGGTGAGATGTCTCCACTCTCTGACGATATACTTAATGCACCCCCAACTGTTCTATTTGTAGAATAAACGACTAGAGGAAGTGAAAAGAGAAGAAAGAGAGTTACTAGAGGCTCAGTCTATTCCTCTGAGAAACTATTTAATGACCTACGTGATGCCAACTCTCATGCAAGGTCTGAATGAATGTTGTAAGGTCAGACCGGATGACCCTGTTGACTTTCTGGTAAGAGATTTAAGTTTTCTCAATGTAAACACTCTTTTTGGGGTCAGCAGATGGCATAGCGGTTATTTCACTGGACCCCCACATGGTTGGGGGTTTAAGTCTTGGACTTGGTGGCTTAAAAATCACGCCGGGGGCGAGGGTGTGCATTCCCCAGATCCTGGGAGGAGAATGGATGAGAAGGGATGGTGGTGTGGTCATCCCTCCTGAGGGGTGATTTCTCACTTTCGCTCTCATTGTTTCCATTTCTCTCGCTCTTTCTCCCCATGAGCATATGTGCCCTAAGGCAAAAGCTTTTAAAAAAATCCTTTTTCTTTATTTATGATAAATCATGTGTATGCACGTTAGAGAAAAAGGGAGAGACAGACAAGAACACCTCCACAGGGTCTGGTCTGGTCACACGGATTCCCTACTGCAGTCCTGCATCCTGATGGATCCTGGGCATGGGACCAGGGATTCAAACCAAGGTCGCCATGTGGATCCAGCTGCTCCTGAGCAGTGCATCACTACTATACAGTGGGGTCAGCCCTTTAAGCAATTTATTATTATTATTATTATTATTATTTAATTTGACCAGGGGAGAGAGAGAGGTAGAAAGCGAGAAAGCAAGTTGCCTGGTCTGGGACTTGAACCATAGTTGGCCATGTGGGAGTCCAGCACCTTAACCACTATGCCACCTGCTGGCCCCTTTATTTTTTTTAAATGTATTAATTTTTTTGAGAGGTTTCTGCTATAGGGTGTGTATACTCGCGAGAAAAACAGAGAGAGACAGAGAGAGAGAAATCACTCCCCAGGGGAAATGGCCATGCCACAATCCCTTCTCCTCCATTCTCCTCTTGGGATCTTGGGCATGCATGCACACATGCCCAGGGTATGAGTTTTAAGCCGCCAGCGCTAGGACTCAACCCACGGTTGACTACGAGGGAGTCCAGCAATATAACCATTATGCCATCTGCTGATCCCAGCCCTTACTTCTTAAAAATTTATGAAAACAGGGACCAGCAGTTAGCGTAATGGTTATGTCGCTGGACTCCCATGTAGTTGACCATGGTTGGAATCCTGGACCCAGTGGCTAAAACTCATGCTGGACGCATGTGCATGCGTGCCCAAGATCCCGAGAGAAGAATGGAGAAGGGATTGCAGCATGGCCATTCCCCCTGGGGGGTGATTTCTCGCTTTCTGTCTCTCTGTCTCTCTTTCTGGTGAGCACATGCGCCCTATAGCAAAAACCTCTCAAAAATTTTATAAAAATAAAATATTCCTTAATCTTAATAGAAAACTAGTTGAGGTAGAGAAATGATATGCCTGGTTATCAGGGAAGTAGCTTTTAATACACTAACAGTTTATAATAAGATTTTTATTATTCATTTGAAAGTAGAAAAATTTACATACTTTTTTTTAAAAAGATTTTTTTATGGAGATTTTTGCTATGGGGCATGAGTGTTTGCCAGAGAGACAAACAGAAAGCAAGAAATTACCCCCCACCACCACCACCACCATCAAAGGGGATGCTCATGCCACAATTCCTTCTCTATTCTCCTCTTGTGATTTTGGGAACGCATGCCCATGCAGACACATGCGCCTGGTGTGAGTTTTAAGCTACTGGATCTGGGACTTGAACTGCGGATGACTACGTGGGAGTCCAGGGATGTAACCATTACACCACCAGCTGGCCCCCACATTTACATACTTTTAAAACTGTAAACATTAGACCAACCAGTGGCACAGCAGCTAAAGAGGCTGGATACCACATGGCTGAATATGTGGTTCAAGTAACTTGGAAAACACATTAGTCATGTGCTCATGAGTGCCCCAAATTCCAAGAGGAAAATGGAAGAGAAGGGATTGTGGCATGGTCATCCCCCATGTGGAGGGTGCTTTCTCACTTGCCCCCTCTTTCTCCCTTTCTCTTTCTGGTGACTACATGTGCTCTATAGCCAATTAAAAACGAACGAACAAATACAACTGTAAACGTTAGTAGTGCACGTATATGACTGGTGACAGATATGTTGTAGATTATTGACTTACCTTTTTTCCTGTCTTTTAATTATAGGCTGAATACCTTTTCAGGAACAATCCTGAGATGCAGTGAAACCCAAAGATCTTACACTTTATAACTACAGAGCTAGAGATCAACTTAACATTGTAATTGGAAACATTGCTTTTAAAAATGCTTTCCTGGTTTTTGGACAATTTTTTTTCTTGTAAATGAGTGTTCTATGAAAAGCTGCATATCAATGAATGACTACATCATTAAAACTGTATTTGAAAGGTAAATTGATAAGGCACCTGTGTTTAGCTCATGGGACAAATATTGATTTAACATTTCATTCTTAGGTCAGTTCTAAGGATTCTGCCTCTGCTTATAATGCTTAGAGTAATTTAATTTGTAACATGAAAAAAATCAGAATGTACATTATTCTAACATCGAGGCTAATGAGTTTATACTTGTTGTGGCCCCAATAACAGAAATGGAAATAAATTATAATAGATTTTTGCCCTTTTGAGTCACAGTAAGTCAGATGTGATTAGTTTCGACAAGGTTGCTTTTGAATTTAGGGTCAGGATCCCAGCCAATGAGTCAGAGAGAACTATAAACATCGTAGTGGAAAAAATTCATGCAAAAGGATGAGTCTTTTTTTTTTTTTTTTTTTTTGAGAGGTTTATTGCTATAGGGCGCTTGCGCTCGCCGAAAAGACAGAAAACAAGAAATCAACCCCCGGGGGGGGGACAGTCACACCACAATCCCTTCTCCATTCTCTTCTCGGGATCTTGGGCACGCATGCACACGCACCTGGTGTAAGTTTAAGGCACCGGGTCCAGGACTTGAACCAGTCGACTACATGGGAGTCCAGCAACATAGCCATTATGCCAACTGCTGGTCCCAAGGATGAGTAATTCTAATAGCTGTGATAATTAGTAAGTTGCTAAATATTTCAACAAACTAATTTAATACTTAAGCTATCAAACCATATGGTTTTAATAGCTCTAAACATCCCATACAATTCTTAGAATTATCTTAGTGAGAAATTAGATTTTGATGACATTTATATTTTTCCCTTTAAAAAATGCTGCCTAAGGCCGGCATGTGGTGCAGTGGTTAAAGTGGCTAGACTCCCACATGGTCCATCCCTGTTGGAGTCCTAGACCTGGTAGCTTGAAAATCACAGAGGGATGGGGCCAGCAGATGGTGTAGCAAATACGTTGCTGGACTCCCACATGGCTGACCATAGTTTTGGTCCTGGACAGCCATGTGGGAATCCACCGATAGCTTGAAAATCATGCCGGGCACGTGTGTGTGCATGCTCAAGGTCCTGGGAGGAGAATGGAGAAGAAGGGATTGCGGCATGACCATCCCCCTGGGGGGTGATTTCTCACTTTCCCTCTCACCGTCTCTGTCTCATTCTCTCCAGTAAGCACATGCACCCTAAGACAAAAACCTCTAAAAAATAAATAAATAAAGAAAAGAAACTCACACAGGGTACGTGTGCAGGAGCGCCTAAGATCCTAATAGGAGAATGGAGAAGGTATTGTGGTATGGCCATCTCCTGTGAGCCGATTTCTCATATTCCCTCTCTCTGTATCTCACTGTCTTTCCTTTCTGGTGAGCACATATGCTTTATAGCAAAAACCTAAAAAAAACCAAAAAAAACCAAAAACAAAACATAATATAACTGCACTGTCTTTTTTTTTTCTGCTATAGGGCACGTGCACTGGCCAAAAAGACAGAGACAGAGAGATACAGAGAGATACAGAAAGACACCCTTGGGGGGGGGGTGACCACACTGCAATCCCTTCTCCTCCATTCTCCTCTTGGAATCCTGGGAACGCACACACATGCGCCCGTTGTGAGTTTAAGCCACCGGATCTGGGACTCAAACTGCGGTTGACTACATTGGAAGTCCAGCGACATAGCCATTATGCCAACTGCTGGTCCCCAACTGCACTGTCTTTTCAAAATCATGGTAAAATTAATTTAACATGAAATGGTTACAAATTGTAACCATTTTAAACTTCAGTTCAGAGGCACTCAGTACATTCACAAGAGTGTAAACTCATTATCCCCATCTGGATGGAGGACTTTCCATCACTCCAAATGGAAGCCCATTAAGCAGTCATACCACATTATCCCTTCCACCTAGTTCCTAGCAGTGATGAATCTGCTGTGTAGGCTATCCTGGGTAGTTTATATATTGATAAATATAATCACACAATATGTAGCTTTTTGTGTCTGTTTTCTTTCTACTAAGCATAATATTTTTACGGTTCATTCATGTTGTAGTGCTTACCAATATTTAATTCCTTTTTATGGCTGAATACTATTCCACTGTATGGATATACCATAGTTTGTCTAACACTTATTTGTTGATGGACTTTCAGGTGGTTTATACCTTTCGGTTACTGAGACTAAAACTGCTATGAACATTAATTCACACACAAGTTTTTGTTTGGACATCAATAAATTCTTTTGGGTAGACAACTAGAATTTCTTTCATACAGTAATTCTGTGTTTAATTGAGGAACCATCAAACTGTTTTCCACATCGGCTGCACCATTTTACATTGTTTCAATCCATGAGGGACTCCCATTTCTTCGCATCCTCACCCAAACTTGTTAATTTCCAAGTACTCATTTTATTTTTTTAAAATGCGATGCTAGTGGGTGTGAGGTGGTATCATATTGTGACATCCTTTCATATACTTGCTGACTGGGTATCTTCTCTGGAGAAAGGTGTATTCAAGCTCTTTGACCATTTTTTTAGTATGACTTGTTCATCTTTTTTGTTGTTGAATTGTAATAGTTCTTTATATATTCTGGTTTTGAGACTGTTTTATTCTGTTCTGTGCTAATAACAGAAAATCCCTAAAACATGATTTTTTTTTTTTTTTAGGGTCTTTTGCTTTAGGGTGTACATGCTCGCCAAGGAGAGAGGGACATAATGAAAGGGAAATTATAAAATTACCCCCCATGGGAATGGCCATGTCATAATCCCTTCTCCTCCATTCTCTTCCTGGGATATTGGGCATGCACACACTGTGCCCAATATTATTTTTTTAGAGATTTTTGCTATAGGGCATGTGCACTCACTGGGAGACAGACAAACAGAAAGTGAGAAACCACCCTCTCGTTCCCCCCAGAGGGGATGGCCACATCACAATCCCTTCTCCTCCATTTTCCTCTTAGGATCTTGAACATACATGGCATGAGTTTTAACCTGCCAGGTCTGAGACTCTAACTGTGGTCAACTATGTGGGAATCCAGTGACATAACTATTACCCCCTCTGCTGGTTCCACCCAGCATGATTTTTTTTTTTTTCCGGAGAGGATTTTGCTACAGGGTGCATGGGTGCTTGCCAGAAAGAGAGACAGAGACAGAAAGTGGCCATCCCCAGGTGGCCACATTGCAATCCCTTCTCCTTCATTCTCTTCTTGTGATCTTGGGCACGCACACGCCCGGTGTGAGTTTAAGCCACCGGGTCCAGGACTCGAACCACGGCCAACTATATGGGAGTCTAGTGACATAGTCATTAAGTCATTACGCCAACTGCTGGTAACGCCCCCAGCATGATTTTTAATCCACTGGGTCTGGGACTCCAACTGTTGTCTGTCATGTGGGAGTCCAGCGACATAACCACTGTGCCATCTGCTAGCCCCAAACTGGATATTTTTTTTTAAGAGATTTTTTACTATCTGGCACCTGCACTTGCTGGAGACAGAAACAGAAAGCAAGAAATCACCCCCTGGGGGGATGGCCATGCTGCAATCCCTTCTCCTCCATTCTCCTCTTGGGATCTTGGGCACATACACACGTGCCCAGCATAAGTTTTAAGCCTCCACGTCTAGGACTCAAACCATGGTCGACTACGTGGGAGTCCAGCAACATAACTATTATGTCATCTGGTCCCAAACTGGATGATTTTGAAAACATAGGTTTATTTGGCTCACAGTTTGGATGCCCATGATCTAGGGGCCACATCTGGTAAGAAAAAATAAACATAATAGTCAAGTAGGCTGATACTTACACCCACTTTACCAGTACACTCTCTTCCTGGAAGAGATCTTATGAGAAGCCAAATGATCAGACATGCTGGGAATGTAAAACCAGGACCAGGACCAGGACAAGGAATTGGCCTCTTCAGCTTGGCAGATCCACCCCTCTATTCCTGCTCAATGTTCTGCTACTTCCTGTGTGTGTGTGTGTGGGGGGGTTACTTTTCTGGACATCATTTGGATAGACAGTGATAATCTTTCTGTCTCTCCTTGATGCATTTCCTCTTCAGATACAGTGACATACTCACTCTTTTGGATTTGTAAGTTAGGGGCATTTATGCTTTTCTAAAAATTTGCTACAGAGCATGTGTGCTTGCTGGAAAAAGAGTGAGAGAGAGAGAGGGAGAGAGAGAGATGAGAAAACAACCCTAATAGGAGATGAGCACACCACAATCCCTTCTCCATTTTCCTCTTGGAATTTTGGGTACAAATGCACATACATATGCCAAAAGTGTTCTCCAAGCTGCTGGATCTGGGTCTCGAACTGTGCAGTTGGCCATGTAGGATCCAGCCACCTTAACCATCATGTACCAGTTGGCCCCATTTACTCTCTTAAAGGCAACTTTGAAGCTTCTGGTTTGATCCATTAAACATTATTACATAATTAAGCTTTCTGAAGGCTGGCTATCTTTTTTTTTTTTTTCCCCCATCCAAAATCTGAGCATGCCCCCCAAATCCATGTGTTGAAATTTGGTTGTGACAGGATTAAGAGGATGAAAACTTAACCTATGATGTCGAAAGGTGGATTCTTTGGGAGGTGATTAGGATTAAAGAAATGAGGGTGGGGCCCCCAAATGGAGTCCTGGTGGGTTTAAGAGGAGAGGGAAGAGACAAGCAGAGATAAGGACGCAGGTAATGCAAGGTCTTTCCATTGGCAGGACATGGCAACACTGCAGGTGAGGATGAACAAGCATGGAGACTCTGAGGTGGAACAGACCTGAGCATGACTAAGAAAAAGGCAAGGGGCAGCCAGAGTGGAAGTAGTAAGGAAAGAGGAAGGGTTTGAGACAAGGTTAGAGAGAAAACCAAGAGGCAGATCATGCAGCCTTCTAAGCCACGGAAATGTTTGGCTTTCTTCTAAGAGCTACAGGAAGGCATTAGGCTGGGGCCATGACATCTGCAGGTATTGTACAAGGGCACGTGTTACCTGGAGGACCCGAGAAAGGCAAGAGGGGACATGAGGAAGTACACAGGCTGCTCAACCGCCTAGGCCAGAGAAGACAGTGGCTAGGACTAGGGTGGTGTCAGCGATGGAGAGAAGAGGATGGGTTTCAGGTGCGTTTGGGATGTGCAATCAATAGAGCTAGATGATGAATTGGATCTGGGAGGACAAAGGGAAAAGGAGGAATCAAGGATATTGACTTCTTATTTTGGCTTGAGCCTGGAAGATGCCTGAGCTGTTGACAGCAGCAGAGCATGGAGG